ATCACCACGTTGCTTCAGAATTTCACCTTCAAGGTACCGGAGGGGGAGAACCCGCCCAGTGGAGAAGAGGGTCTGCATGGCCTCACTTTCTCCCCACTCGATTACAATGTGTGCGCAGTTAGGCGCTAGAAATATGTGGACTGAAACGATTAACTGAATCTTTTAGTTTATACAAAGCAGAATTTTATCCCACACCTCACATACTATAGATATCATTATATAAACACATTTGGTATTGAAATTAAGCACAAGCCTCAAGGGTCACTTGTATCTAATTTGATTGCAATTTATTAACAAACCCCAGCAAAAGTTAGATTGCAAAAAAATTACCTCCAAATCACCAAAGTCGATGTAGCTCTGAATATCTTAGGCGCAGTGCAAAACATTTCTCTGTACAAACAAGTTGCAAATTATTTGCTTTTTTATATCTTGCCCTGATTGTTAGATATGGAAATAAGATATGTTATATACAAATATATGTACACAATACCGCCCTATCGATATGATAAAATATTTAAAGAGAATGAAAAGATAGGCAAAATGTGAAAGTAGATCTTTCCAGTTATCAAAAACTGGAGTATGATGTGGTCTTTCACAACATGAAAAGTGATAAATGAAATCTTGAAAAATAAAAGTTCATGTAAATGACGGTGTTTTCGAGATGTAAAAGTCAGAAGAAAGGAACGTTTTCCATAATGGAAGTTAAAGATGATCTTTCGTTAGGAAAAAGTGATCAAAGATGAGGGCTCATATTTTGGTAACATTTTGTAAATAAATGAAATGTGATAAAAGATGTTTTGTTTGTGCAGTGAATGAGATTCGTGTTGTCTTCTGTTTAAAAAATCAAGATCCTATCACTTGGTTTTCGGTTTTGAACATCTTGTCCTCAGAATGGGCTTCTTCTCATCCGGAATATTTATGAGAACTGCAGTAAGACAACTGAATGCATACACGATATTCATCACGATTTTATGTATGTTATTGTCATAACTTAGCTGGTTTCTGGTATAAGATATGTAAATGCATGCTCTCAAGATCGTAGTTGGATTGAGCAAGTAGTATTTTGTTAAAACTCCTTGGGTTGAAGTAGCCGGATAACTTTTGCGTCTGTTTTTAAAAAATTATTCCTTGAACTTTCGTGTGGAATCTCGCCATCTCTTCATGTTAGTGACGTTAAAAACATGGTTGCATAATACGCCTCTGCAGTAATACCTGCACATAAACAAGAATAAATTGCACATAAGGATATCAGGAATAGACCTTGTTTCGTTTAGGTTACGTGAATAATGTCTTACCGCTTCATACTGCTTATGCCATTCTAGCTCTTGCATAATACTGGCGAAGTTGCTGTAACTGTGGAATCCAAAATGACCAACGTCGTACAGAGTTTCTCTGAGTTTTTCGCAACCCTTGGTTTGCCGACTGTTTTGATATTCGTGACAGTGTTGTTGTTAAGTATGTGGATGCTGTCGTACAGCAATTCTCGGGTGAACTGGCCACCCGGACCTGTCTGTTTCCCCGTGGTGGGATGTCTCCCTCAGCTGATGATCAGCGGTAGAAGACGACAACCGACAGATCTTCTTCCATGGTATGATACATACGGAGATATCATGCACATCAAACTTGGTGAACAACACATGATAATGCTGGGCACATATGAGCTGATAGAAGAGGCTTTCGTGAAAAATGCAGCAACAGTCAGTGCTAGGCCTACCTGGGCATATTTTATAAGACGATTAGTCGGAAAAGACGGTAAATAAAGAGATTTCAACTTTTATGCAAGTTAGATTTCTTGTAGACAAGGACGCATGTCCCTATTAGCATAATATGAAGGGCACGGGTTAGTAAACAACCTGTTATTGTTTGGTTTTGCTCGTCATACTTTTAATGACGATAGAGAAGGGCGTACCCCCACCCCCCAATCCACCAAATCCAACATTGGTACATTCTCCCACAATTATTTATGAACACACGAAAGTGAACGGCATGAAGTCCGCACCGCATGGCCTGATATCTTTCATGTAGACGTAGGCCATGTCAACTTGGATTTTTCCATATAGCAACTGAAACAATTTCTCATCATTTAGATTTTTTTCGAAGTCCTGATTACTTAATTATGCCTGTAAGTTTCGGAGCAAAGGGGGTGGGGGTGTGAGGTGGGGTGGGGGTGTGAGGAGGGGGTGGGGTGTTGAGGAGGGGGTGGGGCTGTGAGGAGGATGTGGCGTTTGGGGAGCAGATGAAGCTTGCACGATGAAGTAGTTAAACATTTCGACACCTGTGTGTGTGTGTGTGTGTGTGAGAGAGAGAGAAAGAGAGAGAGAGAGAGAAAGTGTATGTGTTGGTGTGTGTGATTATGTGCGTGTGTGCGCATTTGTGCGTGTGTGTGATTATGTGTGCGTGTCTGTGTGTGTGTTTGTATGCGTGTGTGTGATTGTGCGTGTCAGTGTGAGTGATTGGATGTGAGTGTGTCATTATGTGTGTGTGTATGCGCGTTTCTCTCCATCTCTATTTTCCTGTTTGATTTTGTTATTAATAGTTACATCTCAGAATAGTACTTTGAAAGAACGCCTCAGAAATGATATTCAGAAAGACAAAGTTTACCGCAAGTTATGTCAGATTTACTATATATGTAATTGATATATTAACAATAAACATACACTTTACTTTTCAGATTAAAAGGAAACATAAAATATTCCATTAACAGTAAGACAATCAGAAAACGACAAAAATGCGTCTTTACAAAATACCCCTATCAACATACTGCACATTTTGACTTTCTCGCGTAAATTTAATGGTATTAAAATTACCAAATGTGTTTTGGATACTCCAAATATTATATTTTCAAGGCTCTAAATTATATTATTCTCGTCTCCAAGTTTTATACATATACCTGTTTTAAAAGAAAAATGCAGCCGACCTTCTCTTCCCTTCTGTTACATATCAAAACAAAATTCGATTTGGAAAAATATGTATCTCAAAAGAATCTTCAGTTATGCCAGAGTGGAGAACCTGGGATTCTATCTTTGACTAGTTCTTCTTACAAATTTACTTTACAGTGTCATGTTACTTTTTCGCTACTTCCTTCTGTGTCAGATGTTTGTATCGTGTGATGTGCAGCATCACCTGTATTATATAGTATTGTACGTAGTCTGGCTATCTACACATATTTCATGTTTACTTAATGTATAGTGAATGTCATGCGTGTGTGATTGTTCGTGTGTGTGTTTGCATATGTATTTTGCTTGTCTTTTTGTGAACAAAAATAACCAAATGTACATTAAATGTTTGATTAATATAACGTAACAATAATTTAATAAAATTACTTTTTCTTCTTGAAAAGTGACAGCTATATTAATGGGAAGAGGTAAAGCAGTAAAAGACGGTTTAGTAATACTGCTTTTTGTGGACGGGTTCAGAGAGGAAAGGCGTAAATTGTACAGACAACACTTCGGTATGGAGAGGATTGGGGTAATTAGCTCGTAAAATATTTTAATTATATGTAAACTGCAGGTGCTGGAGTTGTCTTTAAAAACGGACATGCATGGAAGGAGCTAAGGAGATTCACGCTCTCGTCTCTTCGAGATTTCGGCCTTGGGAGAAAAAGTTTGGAAGAAAAAATTCAAGATGAGGCCAGATACTTGGTTCAAAACATTGAAGATGAAAATGGAAAGGCTTTCTCTCCCAGCGCCAGGATTGGGAAAGCTGTCAACAACATTATTTCTATCATAGTGTTCGGAGCTAGGTAAGTGAATAGCCACCCGGTGTCCATAACGCTGAGACTGTCTCCTATTTTTGAAGAAGTTATAAAATATAAAACTCCCCACCTTTAATGATTATGTGTTTTAACACCATCAAAACCTCAGCTAGAATATGAAGACTCTTGCTTACGCCATACCAAAATCACATAATCATCAAACTAGCAAATTATTCTTTAGTCGATATGTGCAGATAATCAAAACACACCGAGAGAGCAGACGTCCGCCAAGAAATTCACACTAATAAATTGTGGTAGTTGCAAACACGTCCCACTAAACAAAGAACGTTTTTAACGTTACCATAACATGTTTTTGTTATATAAACGTTTTGGTAACGTTATAAACGTTATAATAACATTCCGTATTTGCTAGGACCATTGCACAGTGACCTAAGAGCACCTTTCGTGATTTTTTTTAAAATCAAACTCATTGGCCCTATCCAGGCCTTCCCAACTACCAGACTCGGCACCTACGGGTCCAGTATAAACCGGTTTATCAGACCACACTACCCGTTTTCAAGGTGTGTGTCAGATCGCATTACAGAGTATCAGCCACCACACCGATTTTGCCTGGTGCGCGATGTGATAGCAATGATCCTAAGCGGGGTTGGAAAGTAGTGCATCTCATCTAGATTCATGCGCTGCTGCAATTTTCTCTGTTTATGCTAAAATCTGACAGTACCGCAATTTTTAACATAAAATTTAGGTTCGGACATA